TTCCTTCTTTCTTTCTTTCCTTCCTCCCTCCTTCCCTCCCTTCCTTCTTGCCTGCCTGCCTGCTTGCTTGCAGTGCTCGCATGAGCAGCTGGGTTACAGAGCGGTTTCCTTCTCTGGATTTCACAAGCCGGGCTAGGCTAGGGGGAGCAGGGCCTCAGCCCTCTTTCCTCTGCCCTCCACCTCTCCCCCCTGCAGGCTGACACCCCGGTGCCCAACGTCATGGAGGCGGCCTTCTACTTCGAGCAGGCTGGCGTGGGCCTGAGCTCGGACGAGAGCTTCCGCATCTTCCTGGCCCTGAAGCAGCTGGTGGAGCAGCAGCCCGTCCACACGTGCCGCTTCTGGGGCAAGATCCTGGGGCTCCGCCGCAGCTACCTGGTGGCCGAGGTGGAGTTCCGAGAGGGCGAGGAGGAGGGCGAGGAGGAGGAGGTGGAGGAGGCGGTGGAGGGCGGGGAAGCCGCGGACGCGCCGGGCGAGGAGGAGGGCGAGGAAGACGAGGAGAAGGTGAGCGACGTGGTCCCCAAGCCCGCGTGGAAGCCGCCGCCCGCCGTCCCCAAGGAGGAGAGCCGCTCGGGCACCAACAAGTACCTGTATTTCGTGTGCAACGAGCCGGGCCGGCCGTGGGCGCGGCTGCCGCACGTCACGCCCGCGCAGATCGTGCAGGCGCGCAGGATCCGCAAGTTCTTCACCGGCCACCTGGACGCGCCGGTCGTCAGCTTCCCGCCCTTCCCCGGCAACGAGGCCAACTACCTGCGGGCGCAGATCGCGCGCATCTCGGCCGCCACGCACATCAGCCCGCTCGGCTTCTACCAGTTTGGGGAGGAGGAGGGCGACGAAGAAGAGGAGGGCGGCGCGGGGCGCGACTCCTACGAGGAGAACCCCGACTTCGAGGGCATCCCGGTGCTCGAGCTGGTGGACTCCATGGCCAACTGGGTGCACCACACGCAGCACATCCTGCCGCAGGTGAGCGCCGGGGACGCCGCGGGGGGGGGGGGGGTAGGGGGCAGGCGGGGAGGGCGCGCCCGCGGCCATGCGCCAGGGGGCACTGGCTCTCAGCAGGCCGAGCCGCGTAACATTCGCTCATCCGTCGGTTCGCTCCCGCAGCGCCTGTGGGTTGACGATGGCCTGTAAGCAACTGTCGGGGCCGGATGTACCCTGGCGTTCTGGGTTTTTCAGAATTCAAACGGGTGCCAGGGCACACGCAGCAGGGATTAGGCCACAGCTCAGCTCAAGGAGGGGCTGGGGCTCCAGCCGAGACTCAAAGATTTCATGATTTTTTTTTTTTAGAGATACAACTTTTTAAAAAAATGTTTTATTTATTTCTGAGAGAGACAGCATGAGCAGGGGAGGGTCAGAGAGAGAGGGAGACCCAGAATCGGAAGCACGCTCCAGGCTCTGAGCTGGCTGTCAGCACAGAGCCCGACGCGGGGCTCAAACCCACAAACCATGAGATCATGACCTGAGCCAAAGTCGGAGGCCCAACCGACTGAGCCACCCAGGCGCCCCAAAGATTTCATGATTTCTTTTTTATTTTTTTAATGTTTATTTATTTTGAGGGAGAGACAGAGAGGGAGCACCCACGAGCGGGAAGAGGGAGAGAAAGAGCCCCAAGCAGGCTCCATGCTGTCAGCACAGAGCCCCACGTGTGGCTAGAACTCACCAACCATGAGGCCATGGCCTGAGCTGAAATCAAGAGTCAGTCCCGCATAACCGACTGAGCCCCACCCCCCACCCCCATCCCCGGAGGGGGGCAGGACTTCATTACTTCTGCTGCCACTCGCTGAGTAGTCTCTCATTAGTTCAGGTCAAGGTTGCTGCCAAAGGACGCAAGAAAGCAACTTTTGGTTTTCAACGCTTTTCAGATCTGGGGGTTGTGGATAAGAGCTTGAGGACCTGCCGGTTTTGACCGCGGGTGTTGACCTTTACACTCATGCGCTCACTGGCTCAAGGAAGCGCCAGCTGCTTGCGAGGAACTTTTTATTCTTTCATTTTATCCATTCATTCAACAAACGTTTATCGACTCCGCCGTGGCTTCTTGAATCCAGATGCCTTCTTTTGAGAGTGATACGCAACTGGTATTCCCTCTGCGGAGTTGCGGCAACTGAGATCTGCTCTATGCTGTGCGCTTAGGTGCATTAACGCAGCAAACATACATCAGCTCTTCAGTGCCTCCTACATCCCAACAGCGATCCAATGGGAGAAGCCCCTATACCCCCCCCCCATTTCACAAATGAGCAGGAGATCTCCACGGGGCAGAGATGGGGGGGGGTCTCTCCTCTCAAAGATGCTTTCCCAGCACCTATCTGTCTGTATACAGTAGGTGCTCATTAAATATCTGACGAATGGATGAATGAATGCCCAGGTGGGGGCCGCCCAGCCAGGCTGAGGCAGGGGTCTCCACCTCACCACTGGAGCTCTCTCAGCCCATTCTCCCTCCCCCCACCCGTGTGACTAGCCCCGTCGCCATGCTCATACCTGGGTCCCCGAGGACAGGGCCAGTCCCCAGTGCCCTTCCTGGCCTCTCACCTCCTCCCACGGTGCAGGCCGGTTGCTGTTGCCCAGAGATGCAGACTGACTCCCCGCTCCCCCCCCAACCTCCAGGGCCGCTGCACTTGGGTGAACCCTTTGCAGAAGATGGAGGAGGAAGAGGAGCTAGGGGAGGAGGAAGAGAAGGCAGACGAGGCGATGGAGGAGGTGGAGCAGGAAGTCGGGCCCCCGCTGCTGACGCCGCTCTCAGAAGATGCAGGTAACGGGTCCTCTCTGCCTCGCACATGCCAGCCCAGCAGCCCAGTGGGGACTGGGGAGAAAGCGGGGGAGGGGGGGAAGGACAGCAAGGCTGCGGGGGCATCTCCCTGGGCCTCAGCCACTCCCTCATCTGTGACACTGGCCTGGTGATGCTGCCTCCCTCCTGGGGTTACGGGAACACGTCCGTCTTATGAGCCGCGTCTGGCACATGGCAGTGTCCCGGATGGTGGGATCCGATCTTCCCAGTCCCCTGTGGGTTTGGGGAGAGAGACAGACAGGATTAGAGGGGCCTTCCCCAAGAAGGCAGGACCGGAGCTGGAATTTGGAAGACTGGAGAGGGATTTCCTGCGGGCAGGGCCTCAGGTACCTGGAGGAAGGAGGAAGGAGAGGCTGAGAGCCAGTGAATAGGCAGAGCCCAAATGTGAACCAGATTCACATTTGGTGAATGTGCCCAGGGCCTGTGCCGTGCCCTCTGCACCCTGGTCCAAGCCAGGGGCTGACCTGGAAGGGCGATCACGGCAGCGAGTGCAAGGGAGGTGAGATAAGTATACCCACTTCTTGGATGCGGCCACTGAGGCTCTGACAGGTGAGGCGGCTTCCTGGGGCCACACTCCCTTCATGGCCCTCCCTGTCTTCCTCTTCTGCTCCCTCCCCTCTTCCTCTCAGTCTCCCCTGGGGGAGGGGCGGCTGTGCAGGGCTGCGGGGAGCCCTGACCTCCCCTGGCGGTCTCCACTCCTCTGCAGAAATCATGCACATGACCCCCTGGACCACCCGCCTGTCCTGCACCCTCTGCCCGCAGTACTCCGTGGCCGTCGTGCGCTCCAATCTTTGGCCAGGGGCCTATGCCTACGCCAGTGGCAAGTAGGTCTTCCCCGAGTCCCTTCCAGCAGAGGAAGACCCGACAACTTCTTCCGAGCCAGGCCAAGGGTGGGTGGGGGCGGGGATTGGAAGGAAGCCCTTTCAAGAAGCCCCCAGCGCTGACCCCCCTCACTCAGCTCCAGGACTTCCACTAGGGCCAAAATGAGAAATCCCAGACAAAAGACGGGAGCCCCTCGGATAAGAGAATGGGGGATCAGAAAGGGGAAGGAACTGACCCAGGGTCACACAGCATATGCAGGATTCAAACCTGGATCTCTGGCCTCCCGGTCCAGGCTCCTCCGCTACATGGGTCACAGAGCCAGACAGGACTCAGCAGTCCACTTTGATGTGACCCTGCCAGGGGCAGAGTCTTGTTCCCGGGGGACCTAACTTCTTCCCTGGGCCCCCTGGCCGTTCTTCCAGTTTGAAGCGTCTTCTCTCTCTGGGGCAGAAGTCTTCCCTGCCAGGATCCCCTCCTCAAAAGATCTGTCACCCCTGCATCTTCGCACCCACACACACTCACGGAGACATTCACTACACACTCACTCCTCGCGCAGAGTCCCTCAGTCTCCCCCACCAGGCACATCCCAGCCTTTCGGCTTGGCCACTTAGGGAGCGCTCTCTGCGGCCCCGCGGCGGGCGCACTTACCAGCCCTGTCCACCAGATGGCAGGATACGTTTTCCTAGATTTTCCGTTTCCAGCTCCCTGCGAACCTGCCCTGTTCCATCCTGTGATGACATTTCACGAAATCTTGGTACTGTGACCACATTCCTGGCGATGTCCCCCCTCTGGAAACAGGGGAGAGTCTCATTTGCTTGCTTTTGCCAGCTCCTTTCTGGCCACACCCTAATTGGCCAACAGCTTTCTTTTCTTTTTAAAGATGTTATTTATTTTTTAAGGTTTATTTCTTTATCTTGAGAGAGATGGAGACAGCATGAGTCAGGGAAGGGCAGAGAGAGAGCGGGAGAGAGAGAATCCCAAGTAGGCTCCGCGCTGCCAGCACAGAGCCCCATGCAGGGCTCCAACCTGTGAACCGTGAAAAACATGACCTGAGCCAAAACCAAGAGTCAGATGCTTAACTGACTGACCCGCCCAGGCGCCCCTTAAAGATTTTAAATAATCTCAACACCCAACATAGGGGTCAAACTCACAACCCCGAGATCAAGAGGTGCTCGCTCCACCGACTGAGCCAGCCAGGCGCCCCTGGCAACATCTTTCTGGAAGCAAAAGATAGATCCAAATTGGGAACGCCACTCACCCACCCATCCATCACTCAATCACGCATCCTTCCAACTATGTTTCTTTATAAAACACTCTTGGGTGCCACTGTTTGCCACCTGTATGCTAGGTCCCAGGCCCTTTATTGAAAAGGCGATACGGACCCTGCCCCTGAGAGCAGGCAGAGGAAGCACAGACATTAATAGTATAGCACCCCTTCCCCAGCCGAACACATACCCCAAACTAAGTGCTGCACTAGGGACAGTGCAGGGATCAATACCAGCTCACACCTGTCATCTTGAGGGGATCAAATGGGAATCCCTGGGAAGAGCACCCTTGATGTGAACTCTCTGGGGAAAGAAAGAAGTAAGGGGGTGGGGGGAGGAGGAAGCAGGTGAACCAGAGCTTCCCAGACTGTGAGTGTACAGGACCCCACGGATCTGGTTAAAGTGCAGGCTCTGGTGACACGGGAGTGGGGTGGGGGCCTGAAGGTCCATCTTTCTAGGAAGCTCAACCTCCTGGGTGTGGCTTCCAAGAGAGCAGTGTATTCGAAGGCTCTAGGAAGACCTGGAGGAAAGCAAAGTTCTCAGGAACAGCAAGGCTGTGAAAATAAGGGCAAAGCCAAGCAGGTTCGGTGGCAAATTCTCCATCCCTCTCTCTTCACCCCACCCCCTGCCCCGCACGGCCCCTCTCCCTGTCTGCCAGTACCCGCCTTTTTCTCCCATTTCCTCCTCTAGTTAAAATTCTGGGAGGGGCGCCTGGGTGGCTCTCTCGGTTAAGCGTCTGACTTCGGCTCAGGTCATGATCTTATGGTTTGTGGGTTCGAGCCCCGCGTCGGGCTCTGTGCTGACAGCTAGCTCAGAGCCTGGAACCTGCTTCGGATTCTGTGTCTCCCTTTCTCTCTGACCCTCCCCTGCTCACGCTGTCTCTGTCTCTCAACAATAAAGAAATGTTTTGAAAAAATTTTTTAAAAAGTACAAACAGGCAAGATTCACTTGAATAATTTATTTTACCCTATTATATTTTAAACGTTATCATTACCATGTGACATCAGTGCTGTAAAACTTAACGAGCTATTTTACATTCTTTTTTTTTTTAATTTTTCATACTGTGTCTTCAGAATCTGGTGTGAAGTTCACACTTACAGCACATTCCATCTGGGTGCTACGTTTTCATCAGAAGTACTTGACCTTGTACTCAGATTCCACCACATTCACAGCTGAGAAAGTAGATTCCTGGACCCAGGCTGTCCTAGACACACTTCTGTTATCCAAGAACAGAACTGAATATTGGTTTTATCGTTTAAATTTAAATTCATTAAAATGACATAAAATCCACCCTGGCAACAGCAGAACACACATTCTTTTCTTTTCCTTTTTAACATTTATTTATTTTTGGGAGATGGAGCATGAGCGGGGGAGGGGCAGGGAGAGAGGGAGACACAGAATCCGAAGAAGGCTCCAGGCTCCGAGCTGTCAGCACGGAGCTGATGTGGGGCTCGAACTCATGAGCCCTGAGATCTTGACCTGAGCTGGCTGGACGCTTAACTGCCTGGGTTAAGCAGTTCTTTTCAAGTGCCCATGGAACTATCTCTAGGATCAGACCATATGCTAGGCCAGGACACAAATGTCGATAAATTCAACCGGATGGATTATACAAAATACGTTCCCTGGCCATACTGGAGTGAAATTAGACATCAATAACAAAGGAATTTGGGGGAATTTCACAGATATGTAGAAATTAAACAGCACGCTCCTAAGTAACCAGGGGGCCCAAGAAGAAAGCACGGGTGAAATCAGAATATCAAATACAATTAGAAACTCAGGCTTTTGGGGGTGGGAGGGGCGCCTGGGTGGCTCAGTCCGTTAAGCTTCTAACTTCGGCTCAGGTCAAGATCTCACGAGTCATGAGTTCGAGCCCCGGCTCAGGCTCTGTGCTGACAGCTCGGAGCCTGGAGCCTGCTTTGGATTCTGTGTCTCCCCCTCTCTCTCTGCCCCTCCCTCACTCGCACTCTGTCTGTCTTTCTCAAAAGTAAATAAAACATTATACATAAGAAAAGAAAAAACTCAGGTGTCTGGCTGCAGCGGCCACGTTTAGAGTGCTTGGCCGTGACACGTCCTGCTGCAGAGCGCAGCTGTAGGCAGGCCCGGCACTAAGACAGCCGCACAGGAAACGCTGAAGACATGGGAATGGAGAGACCTGCTAGGCACATTCCACGCCGCCACCCACGACTGTGCAGTCGTTTCGGGCCCTCCCCGGGGCCCACCTTCAATGGAAGTCCAGGCTGGGGCCTTCGGGGGAGGATTGCCCAGTATCTCTCCGCCTTTCCAGGAAGTTTGAGAACATCTACATCGGCTGGGGCCACAAGTACAGTCCCGAGAACTTCAACCCACCTCTGCCGGCCCCCGTTCAGCAGGAGTACCCCAGCGGCCCCGAGATCACGGAGATGAGTGACCCCACGGTGGAAGAGGAGCAAGCCCTCAAGGCGGCCCAGGAGCAGGCCCTGACGGCCGGGGAGGAAGAGGAGGAAGATGAGGAAGAAGATGAGGAAGAGGATCTGGATGACTGAAGGGGGCCCCCACCAACCCCTTCCCCCAGCAGGTAGATAGCAGGCTTTCCCTTATACATAGTGATGGGTTTTTTGTTTTTGTTTTGTTTTTCACTGTTGGTTTGCTTTCTGCCCCTGGAGGACATGAGTAGAAGAGGAAGGTAGCTGCTCTAAATAAAATGTCCCCATGGCATTATGGCCTAGTTTCCCATTTGTTTGTTCACTGCGTTTGTTGACGTGGCCTACAAGTCAGGGCTGTTGGGCTCTGCTGAGAACAGACATTGCTGCACAGTCTCTCCCATCTGTTTCATTGATTCGCTCATCTGGCCATCAAACAGCTGGTTTTTTTTTTTAATGTTTATTTATTTATTCGGAAAGACAAGGAAGAGGGGGGGAGAGAGAATCCCAAGCAGGCTCCGCGATGTCAGCGCAGAGCCCGAGGAGGAGCATGAACTCATGAACCGTGAGATCGTGACCTGAGCTGAAATCAGGTGTCAGATGTGTAACCGACAGAGCCACTCAGGAGCTCCCAAACAAGTGCTGAAGTGCCTTCTGTCAGCCCAGCCCTGCGGTGGGGACACAAAGGGGGCCAAGCAGCCCCAGCTCTGCTTTCCCAGGGCTCACACTCTTCAGGAGAGACAGACACACTCCCCAACAGTGACAACCTAGATGGAGGAGCCCACAGGACTGACCGAGCTTCTGAGCTGACTCTCAAAGGGTCAAGAACAGAGTGGGAAAGAGCATTCCAAGCAGAGGGAACAGCATGTGCAAAGAGCAAGAGCAAGAGAGAGTTCTGCGTTGAGGTAGTTTCCCGAATCTCTATGTTTGGGACGTGGTGTGAGGAGTTAGTAGTGAGAGATGAGGCTGGAAAGAGAGGTTGGCAGGAGCAGATCACTCAGGGCTTTACTTTGCCCTGAGAGCACTGGGGAGCCTCAGATGGTGTTGGAGCAAGGGAGGGCCCTGGTCATATTCGTGTTTAGAAAGACCTCTCTAGATGCCAAGTGGAGCGTACATAGGATGGGTGGGATGGCAGTCTGGGAGAGCAGAGACCAGGCTGCTGGGGAGGGCGGGACTGGAGAGGAGGACTTTGGACCAGGGCTATGCAGAGAAAGAGACTAGAAAAGAGGAATTCAGGTAACAGAACGCAAAAGACTTGGGGGCTAGAAGCAGGGGGTGAAGGGAGATGATACAGATCTAGGAAGACACTGAGGTCTGGAGACTGAGTGACCGGGGGGATGGCAGTGTGAACTCTAAGATGGGGACCGGGGCGGGGGTGGGGAGCAGGATTTGGAGGAAGATTTAAAACAATTTTTTTTAATGTTTTATTTATTTCTAGGAGAGAGACAGAGACAGCGTGAGCAGGGGAGGATCAGAGAGAGAGGGAGTCACAGACTGAAACAGGCTCCAGGCTCTGAGCCGGCAGTCAGCACAGAGCCTGACGCGGGGCACGAACCCACAAACCGCGAGATCATGACCTAAGCGAAAGTCGGACGCTCAACCGACTAAGCCACCCAGGTGCCCCAAATTTTAATTTCATTGTAGCACGTGCTGGGTGTGAGATGCCCCTGGGGCATCCTGATGAGAAATCTGAGAGACCACTGAGAATGGTCTGGGAAAGTCTGTGATGGGAACAGGGTGGCTTCAGCAGAAGTGAAGGGCACTGGCAATCAGTGGGGGCTCACGGGATCCGCAAGAGCTTTTGGATCACTGCTGGATCATCGGGACACGGGGGGCATTGCGGGGATCAATGAAATTTTGGAATCACAAGAGGGTGTTGGAGGACCAAGTGAGATTGTAAAGATAGTGAAGTCATGGAGACATATATTGGAGGTTGGAGGGAAATGTAGAAATGTTTGAGATTAGCATTAATCAGTAGCGGATCGGATGAAGCCCTAGGCGTTTTATGGAGACACTGGAGATCAGCAGGGTTTGGGACAGCAACCAGGGTGGCGTGGAATGTCTGGAGATGCTGTCGCCAGTCAGGGATTTTAGGAGGTCAGTGGGAAACACTGGAGATCAGAAAGGTGTATGTTGGGAGTCTTAGAAGGCACTAGAATCACCTGGGGTCGTCTGTGAAGCGATGGGAAGGCCAGGTTATGAACGTTGCCTCCTCTTGAGGGTCCCTCCGTTGCTAGGCAAACGGTTCCCAGGGCGCCGTTGCTAGGGATTTGAGATTTGCCACGACCCCGCCCATCTCCCTCTGGGCCCCGCCCCCCAGCCAACCACAGGCCGGCTGATGGCACAAAAGCCACGCCCCACCTTTCGCCCCGCCTCCAGCCCACGAACCGTTACCGGAGCGACGGCCCGAGCTCATCCCGCCTCCCGATCCTGTTGCCAATCGAAGAGGCGTCGCCCGGGTGACCACCCCACCCCTTCCGGCACGAGCCCGTGGCTTCCGGCAAGGGGCCCGGCGGCGGGCGGCGGTAGGGCGGCGGCGGGGCCCGGGCGGGAGGGGGGCGCCCAAGATGGCGGCGGGCGGCGCGGAGGGCGGCTCGGGCCCCGGCGCCGCTATGGGGGACTGCGCGGAAATCAAGTCGCAGTTCCGCACCCGCGAGGGCTTCTACAAGCTGCTCCCCGGCGATGGCGCAGCTCGCAGGTCGGGTCCGGCTTCCGCCCAGACCCCGGCGCCGCCCCAGCCGCCGCAGCCCCCGCCCGGCCCTGCCTCCTCCTCCGGCCCCGGCGCCGCGGGCTCCGCGCCGTCCCCGCCGCCCGCAGGCCCGGGGCCAGGGCCCGCGCTGCCCGCCGTGCGCCTCAGCCTCGTGCGCCTCGGGGAGCCCGACGGCGCCGGGGCCGGGGAACCGCCCGCCACGCCCGCGGGGCTGAGTGCCGGAGGAGACCGCGTCTGCTTCAACCTGGGCCGCGAGCTCTATTTCTACCCCGGCTGCTGCCGCCGCGGGAGCCAGCGGGTGAGCGGCCTGCATCGTGGTGGCCTCGGTGCTGGCAGAGAGGATAGGGCCCCCTGAGGTGATCAGAAGTGACGGGAGGGCCTCCGGTTGATTTGGGCCTTTGAATTGGCATCCTACTTGTGACGGGTGTCCTAAGAGGAAACAGTGCCTGGAGGGTATGCAGAATTCTAAAAGGTGGTGGCCTTTTAGCCCTTTAGTACCTCCTAGGTACTGGCCGTCCTGGAGGTGATGGAGAACGTCCTGGAGGTGATGGAGAATCTTGAGTCATGTGGGATCCCCGAGTTCTGCGTGGGGGGGATTGGACTGGTATTTTGGAGAGATTCCCAGATGGCATGGGACCCTCCGTGGTTGTGGGTGGTAGGGAATCTTCAGGTGATGGGCATTCCCGAGGTGGTGCAGGCTGGAAAGTGATGGAGAAGCCAGGGGTATTGCAGGGCAGGAGGTGCTGAGGGCGAGCCTTGAGACGTTGGGAGCCCAGAGGTGAGGACGATTGTGGAATCAATGGGGCTCTTAGAGGTCATAGGGATCCTGGAGGTGAATGGGGTCTTAGGCCACACAGGGTCATGGAGGGAACGGGAATCTCTGAGCTGAGAGCCCGGGGGGACATCCGCAGGTGTGGTGGTCGTCTCTAGAGGCACGTAGGTCCCAGAGGGGATGAGCCCCGTGGAGGTTATGGTGGTCCCCAAAATGATGGAGGTCCTGGGAGCCCAGAGGCAATGAAGGGCCAAAAACGTGAGGGACCATGCGGTTTCATGTGTCCGCGAACTGATGGAGGCCCTGAGATTTAGGGACTCCAAAGAAAACAGAATCCCCGGATGTTGGGCATTAGAGTCCCGGGATGTGGGCGGCCCTGACCTTGGGGGAGCTTGGATATTGGGGTGCTGAGATCCAGGCCGTGGGGCAGGACTGGAAAGGAATGGGACTGTGGGGTCTGCAAGCCTTGATACTGCGGGCAAGGGAGTCCCCTAAAGTTAGCGGCTCCAACTTTGGGGGGAAGCATTGTGGTCTCCGTGGGGGGGGGAAGGGGGGGCCTTCCGGTCTGTGGTTGCCCACTCACCCATCCACCTACCCACTTCCCTCAGGGATTACCCTTGCTTCCTCTTAGTGGTTTCCCCCAACCTCAACACCCTCTTCCTGCCTCTCAGTCGCAGAAGCTATTATTAACTCCTTTTCTCCCACTGCCCAAGTCCATTGACCTCAACAAGCCAATCGACAAGCGGATCTATAAGGGCACCCAGCCCACCTGCCATGACTTCAACCAGTTCACTGCTGCCACAGAGACCATCTCCCTGCTGGTGGGGTTCTCAGCCGGCCAGGTGCAGTACCTGGATCTTATCAAGAAGGACACCAGCAAGCTATTCAATGAAGAGGTGATTACGGCCCCCCCCAGGGCCTAGAGCCCCTCCCCCTTCCTATTCACCCACCCATGCACTGTTGCCACCAGACCAGTGTCTGTCTGGGAGCAGTAGGCCTGGGGGGGGGGGGGCAGGAACCGGGAGAGAGAGAGAGAGAGAGGGGATGGACTGACAGATGTGTGGCCTGGGGTAACAGGCAGCCAGTGTGAAAAGACCCAGTAATGACTGCTGCTCCTGCTGCGCCCAGGTCCTGTGCTGCTGGCCCTGGGCTGAGCACGGTGCTCCCGGAGTTTTTCACTCTGGGTTAGGGCTCGTGGTACCCGTGTTGCGGAGATGACCACTGAGCCTAGTCCCCTGTTGGGATGCCAGGGCCCATGGTCTCCAAATTCAAGTCCTTGCTGCACCATTTACTCACCGTATGGTTTCGGGGAGCTCACCTTCCCTGCCACTGAGCCTCAGTTTTACTCCTCTGCAAAATGGGCTTCTTGTCCCTGCCTCACAGGACTGTGGTTACAGGTACATGGAGATTGCTCAGTCCTGTCTGGACGGGGCGCAAGAGGACATGCCGACGAGCCACCTCCTCTGTGGCCAGGGGCCGCTCTTGCCCTCTGTCCGTCCCTCTCGGTTCCGAGGAGGTGTTCCAAATACACAGAGCGCCCGAGTGGCAGAAGGGAGCGAGGGTGACAGTGAATGGATTCAAAACGCACCGGCTCGTCCATTCACAAAATATCTATCGAGCATTTGTTCTGTGCCAGGCATTGTTCCAAGCACTAGAGGTCTTGCATCTCAGTGAACAGAACAGACAGAGGGCCCTGCCTCTATGGATCCCTCATCTAGCTGGGGGGCAGACGGCTCTCAGATGAGGGAAATATGCTATATGTCGGAAGCGGAAGGTCAAGGTCAGGTGCGCCCTATGGAGGTATCCAGCAGGGAGGTTTAAGTTAAGTAAGCTGATCAGGAGAAGCCTCATGGGGGGTGGGGGGCATTAAAGTAAAGACCTGAAGGCGGCAAGAAAGTTTTCAGGGGAAGACGTTCTGAGTAAAGGAACAGCTGGGACAGAAGCCTGGGAGGAGGGCAGCGGAAAACTGGGTGGCCAGTGCAGTTGCTGAGCGGGGAGGGTGGTGGATGGATGGGCTGGTGGTGGACGGTTGAGGTTCTGAGAATGACCTGGTGGGGACCGGCCCATGTCGGGTCTGGAGGGCCCGGGAAAAGAGAAGACTTCGGCTGTTCGAGCCTTTCTTGACCAGGGTTCATCTCAGCCCTAGAACAAAGAAGCGATTTGATTGTTTTCTGTGTTTTTCCCAACTGCGGGAAGCAGGTTAGCTGCCCGGGGAGGAAGTTAATTCGCCGTGTGCTGTGCTCACCCAGGGGCTTCAGGGCATCATTCCCTCCGGAACCAGTGCAGGGTTGATGGCAGCTGGGACCCGCGTGGTTGGAGTGGGGGTGGGGCAAGAAGAGGGCAGGTCCTGGGTGTCCCGGAAGGACTGGGGGTGGCTTGGGAAGCGGAAAGGAGAAGAGGCTCGCGTGCGCAGCTGGGGGGCTGGGGCTGCCCCTCGCGTGTCCAGGAGTTGCTGTGTGCCCGGCTCCGTGCTCTGGGGCCAGGCCTGTGGATCATGAGATCGAGAGCCCTTCCTTCGGGGGCCGATGTCCTGTGACTCCATCTCTTGCCTTAAGCCTGGAGAGGGTTAAACAGAGGGTAGTTCTCTGAAAGGCAGAACTGTCCCCTTGTAGAAGATGGGGCATCGAGGCTCCGTGGAGCTCTGCGTGGCTGCCCCACAGGCCACCCTACTTCCCCTGCGTTCCCATGGCCTGGCGTCCATCCCTTACCCTCGGTGAGGGAGGCCCTGTCCAAGGAGGTCTGGGCCACATCCGAGGGCCCTTTCGGGGGAACCACGCTGGGGAGGAGGTCCGCCGGCAGTGGCTGACCACCTCCCAACCGCCACGATTTCTCCCGGCAGCGGCTGATCGACAAGACCAAGGTGACCTACCTGAAGTGGCTGCCCGAGTCGGAGAGCCTGTTCCTGGCCTCCCACGCCAGCGGCCACCTGTACCTGTACAATGTCAGCCACCCGTGCGCCTCGGCCCCGCCCCAGTACAGCCTGCTGAAGCAGGGCGAGGGCTTCGCCGTCTACGCCGCCAAGAGCAAGGCACCCCGCAACCCGCTGGCCAAGTGGGCGGTGGGCGAAGGCCCCCTCAATGAGTTCGCCTTCTCTCCCGACGGCCGGCACCTGGCCTGCGTCAGCCAAGACGGCTGCCTGCGTGTCTTCCACTTCGACTCCATGCTCCTGCGGGGGCTCATGAAGAGCTACTTTGGGGGCCTGCTGTGCGTGTGCTGGAGCCCGGATGGCCGCTACGTCGTGACAGGTGGCGAGGACGACCTGGTCACCGTGTGGTCCTTCGCTGAGGGCCGTGTGGTGGCGCGGGGCCATGGCCACAAGTCCTGGGTTAATGCTGTGGCCTTCGATCCCTATACCACGAGGGCCGAGGAGGCGGCTGCGGCCAGCGGTGGCGACGGGGAACGGAGCGGCGAGGAGGAGGAGGAGGAGCCTGATGCTTCAGGGGGCCCGGGATCGGCCGGGGGGCCCCCCCTGTCCCCGCTCCCCAAAGGCGGCCCCATCACCTACCGCTTCGGCTCGGCCGGCCAGGACACGCAGTTCTGCCTGTGGGACCTCACGGAAGACGTGCTTTACCCCCACCCACCCCTGGCCCGCACCCGCACCCTCCCCGGCACCCCCGGCACCACGCCACCCGCCGCCGCCCCCGCTGCTGCCGGTTCCCGGGGCGCCGAGCCAGGCCCTGGCCCCCTGCCCCGTTCGCTGTCCCGCTCCAACAGCCTTCCGCACCCGGCGGGCAGCGGCAAGGC